TCAGCCATCCCCCATCCCCTGTCCCCATCCCCTCCTGGCCCGTGGCAACCACCCACCTACTTCCCTTCTCTTCAGAGTTGCCCATTCTGGACCTTTCACATAAACAGCCTCTTGTGACCAGCTTCTTTCCCTTGTCGTGTTTTCGAGGCTCATCCATGTCTCAGCGCGTGTCAGTACGTCATGGCCTTTTACTACCAAATCACGCGCCCTTGCAAGGACATGCCGTGTTTTGCTTATCCTTTGCTCTGTTGGCAACAATCTGGATTGTTTCCCTTTGGGGACAATTGTGAATCCTGCTGCAGGGGCTCTTAACACTGATCCCGGAGGGACAGAGCCGGTAAGAAGGGCCGCCGTCTGGGAGTGGCTTGGGAAAAAGGCTGTGGAGAACGGGTCTCCGAAGGGCAGGGAAGAGAGGGAGGCACAGGCGGCTGGTCTGTTTGGGGGACAGTGTCCCTGAGGACCGGCTGCCCACGCAGAAAGGAGGGAGCCCAGAGCAGTCCCAGGCAGACTCACCTCCAGAAGTGATAGAAAAGTAGAGGGACATTCAGCCCCAGGGTGAGCCACTCCTGAGCGCACAGGAACATGATGCAGAAGAGGCTGTGGATGGAGTATTCCGGAAGCACCAGCTGCAGGGGAGCAGAGACACAGGCCTGCATCAGCAGGAGGGAGAGTCACTCCATCCCACAGGCCATGCTGGTGACCCCAAGGCCGCCCTGACACTGTGGCCCAGCTCTGCTCCGTTCTCTTTGTCGGGGTCCCGGAGCCATGCTTTATACCCAAGTCCAACAGACACAGGCTCTCAGCACCTACTTACCGGAATGGGGCCCTTGCTTCTGGGGGTCACCCCTGCGTGGTCACGGAAGGCGGGAGGAGACACCCCCAGAGGGTCTCCACAGTTCTGTAACTGCCCTGCTCCTGGCTTCCCAGTCCCTACATACCCTCCTACACACACTCACAAACCTACAGCAAACGTGTGTATTTGTTTCAAATGGAGGCGGGCCAGGGAAACATCAAGAAACAGCACCTCGCCTGATGTGGGTGGCCCGGGGGGGCCCGAGAGAATGACCAGCAGTGACAAAGGAGGAGAGAGAGGCCAGCCGGGACCAGGAACGGGCCAAAGCTGGGGGACCAGCAGGAAGACCGAGCTCCCCAAGCCCCCAGAGCAGCCACGCGGGGGTTAATGGTAAAAAGAGCTTCAAGTCATGAACTCCCCAGGGTTTTCAACAGAAATCAAAGTTGTAACAGAGATCACAGCAGCTGTAAAGGAGAAACTGGTCCCCAGACCAGTGAAGACACCCCAAGTTGGAGAGGGGAGTCCCCCTCCTCCCCCTCACAGAGGCCCATGTACGTAGCACGTATGCTCCGCGCTCCTAGAAAAATCCAGACAGCCTTGGGGGCTCATCTCTAATGCCGCTTCCTAAGGGAAGCCGAGCCCAGACCACCCACCCCGCACCCACACCCCCTGCGGCCCCAGGCCCACAGCGTGCTCCCTGACCTCCCCCGCTGAGTCAGCACCCTCCTCCCTCCCCAACACACCCCCCAGCCCCGGCGCTCCCTCTTCTCAACCGGTGTGCAAAGCTCTTTGCACTTAGTAGATACTGAGCGAGCACGAGATACGCTGAGCTGACCCGGGACATGGGTCCGCGGCACGGCCAGCTGGCGTGAGGGCCCCAGCCTGCGCTCACCCACCAGGCCTTCTGTGGGCGGGAACAGACGGCCTCACACCGTCCCATCTGGGTACCACTCACGACTCTGGGCTCCCTCACCCCTCCCTTTGGTCTCGGGGGTTGGCTGCCCCAGATGACCATGCACAGGGAGATGCGCATAAAAAATACACGCCTGTGAGGCACACGTGTAAGAGATGCATTCTGTAAGCAAACGGCACCTTCCTGACTCGCGTCTGCTCGAGAACGCACGCGTTGACCCACGCGGATCCAGGAGCCCTGGAATCCGGCTGACAGGCCCAGCTCTGTGGCCCCAGGGCACCGTCGGCGCAGCCAGCCTGGGGGCCAGCAGAGCTGGGTTTGCCCCTCACCCCCCAGCGTCGGCCCGCCTCATGAGCACGGCCAGCGTGGCGTGGCTGGGGGGCTGGGGGGCCACCTCAGATCTCCCCATGCGGCAACTGGACTGGACGCACCCTCTTCTGGGCGCTCACCTGGTACATACAGATCGCCCTGACCCCTGAGCCCCGGGCAAGCCCTCAACCCCAAGCCACCCTCCGCGCTGGAGAACACTGGGTTTCCCCAGCGCCGGTCGCATCCTTCCCCCCACAGCGCACAGAGGAGCCGGCTCACGCAGGGGCAGTCTGTGCAAGTCGCCGGCCTCACGGCGAGTGTCACCGTGCCCCGCTCACGGAGCTAGATGCGCTGCACACGCGACCCATGCAGACCCCACGGAGCCTGACGGGGGGAGTGGAGGGATGCTGGGAGGGGCGAGGAGACCTTGCCACGGAGGGAAGCCAGGGGCCCGCATTCGGGGACAGGAGCCGGGGGCACAGCAGAGAGTGGGCAGGAGCTAATGGCGGGGGAGGTCAGCACGAGACGCCTGCAGGGGCCACTAGCTCACCACGGGGCAGCACGGAGGCCGGCCTGACGCGAGCCAAGCCGGGGCAGGGGTGAGGTGGCGCCCCGCTGCCAGGACCTAGCGCCGAGCCCAGCTCGCACACTCGCCCAGGAAGACCGCACCGACTTCGCCACGCCCCAACTTCTTCCGTCACTCCACCTATGCTGACTCCCTGCCCAGGCCCCAGGCCTCACCTCCTCGTCCTGGAGGACATTTCCACCCGGATACTGCCCGACCACCGCGTGCTGAAAACCCCCGTTCCTCCAGCCCCTGGAAACCCACCTACTCGGACTCCAGTCTGCTTCCAAATCTTCCCATTTCTCCTCCACACCCACTTGCGGTGTTTTCCCTTTGCCCCAGTACCGCCCCCACTGGTCTGGACCCCTGCACCCCTTCCCATGGCCAGGGCAAGAACCTTCGGGCAGGCTTCTGTCCTTGCACACATGCCCCGCCCCCCCGCCCAGCAGAGCAGTCACGTCTCCCCTGCACACGCCCCTGGGCTCGGCTCCCGAATCCACAGACTTGGTCTCCCGGCCATTTTACGTGTGTTCAAAGTGGTTCACTGGTGTACCTATTCATTCCTGGCGCTGGCCCACAAAGATCTGCGGACTGGTAGCCTGTGGATTCGGGGAGCCGGACACAGTGATGCCGCCCTTTGTCCTCACCTCGGGACGCCTGGACGCTCTCCCAGCCCGCACAGCGGGGGATGTGGGACGATCCCACGATGGGACCCCCCGAGATGGGGGGATGGGAAGACGGTGAGGACCGTGCCCGCCCCACGGCTGCACACCTGCTCCCGCCCCCCACCACACATCCCCGGCGGACGGGCTCACCGAGCTGCTGGCAGAAGCGTGCCTGGGACCAGACATCCCAAGAGGCACACGGGAAGCAACGGGGAAGGTCCCAGGGCTGAGTGCAGCTTGCGGGGAGGGGCAGCTGTGAGACCCAGTCTCCGTGGACTCAGACAACAAGCTTTTCAGCTGTGACCGCGTGGGGCTAAAAATATTAGCCCGCTATCTCCAAGTGTTCTATAAGTTCTGGCGGCCACATAATGATCTCTCTGTGGTGCTGAGCACGTTGGGTCTTTCCTCCCTCATCCGTAAACACCAGCATTGATGACCTTCCAACGAGGCTGCTGGGGGACACAGCTTCTCCCACGGAGGAGGCTGCTCTCAGAGGTGGAGCAGTGTCGAAGGGGGAGGTGCGCCGTCGTGATGAATGGGACCATCACTATCACTAACAATCACACACCCCTAATCCCAGTCTCGGGTAGGTCCCTTGTCCCTCTTACCCAGAACTGATTTTGGTTTCCTGATTCTCCACCCAGTCTCCTCTGAACCGCAACCCCACCCCTGCGAAAACCAAGCCCCCGGCTGTCTCAAGGGGAGAGAGAAACCAAACCTGCCTCTCCAACCAGGAAAGCCCAGGCCCTGCCTGTTTTCAAGGACACCGGACAAGGACATCCTGTGTCTATCTGCCCCAGGGCCAATGGGTGTGAAAAGAAAGGATAATGTCCTTTCGTCTGATTCCCCGAACCAGGAGCCCTCCTGGGATGAGCAGGGAGGAGGCAATTTTCTCATAAGCGTCCAGGTGGAGACACCTGCTTGCAGGTCCCCAGGTGAATAATCGCACCCCTGGTTCACCTCAGGGGAGGGGCGGTGGGAAGGAGGGAAAGAAAGGTCGCTTGCCTGGGAAGCTGGAATTTCGCTGGACTGGGAGACGAGGAGAAGAGCATCCCAAGCGCTGGCAGGAAACCCTCTTCTGAGTCCCTCCGCTCCAAGGAGGCCACTTTCTCTGTAGTCGCTCTGGGCGGAGGGCTCCTGGAGGGCAGCCGGGCAAGAGCCCAGGCCAGCTGCGGACGGGGAGGGGGGGCAGCCTGGGCTCCCAGGCAGGCCCCCCAGCAGCACGGCCCCCTGCAGGCCTTAGACGGCATCATTAGCAGAGACCCCGACGGCTAGGCTTGTGGTTGGGCTGAGCTGAGCGTTGCCCATTTCATGGTGCCAGCCAGTTGAAGCTTTCGCCCTCCTGGAATGTGCACCGATGTCCATCAAATACTCTAAGGGGTGAGCGGATGACTCTGGTACATAAGCGCCCGGCCCAGAGTCACCTCATCTAGAACTGTAATTTGAAAAGCCGCCATAAACCAGTCTCATGCATGCTGAGGCCTGTCCCCAGGGACCCCGGGCCTCGCTCTGAGCCCCGCACAGCCAGCAGCAATCCTGGGTGCCTGGGCCGAGTGTGGCTGTCCCCTATCAGGGTCAGGTCAGGGTCAGGCCCGCGTGGCTGATCCCGGGGACTGGGCCCTGCCTCCAGGGAAGCCAGTCCCCGATCATTTCCCTGTGGGCCTGTTCTGAACACCAGGAACCCCAGGAGAACGGGAGGCAGACAGCGAGAGAAGGACTTGCCTGCCTGGGTCCCAGCACATAAGGACAGAAGGATTTGCCTTCCCTGGGGAGGCTGGTGGTCAGCGAGGGCACGGAGGTGGCCCAGGAGCCAAGAAGCGTGGTTTCCAGCACCCCCACGTTCCAGCCCCGTGGAGCCCTCCCACCCGGTCCTTCCCCCTCCCTCCCTGAGCACATTTCATCCAAACGGGAGTCTCTGCGGCCTTCTTGCCCACCCACACGGACTCACCTCTCTGCAACGAGGCCAGGGAGAGAAAGTGGGGAGCGATCCCACACCCCCCTGCCCACTGCACCTGGCTCCCCAGCGTGTGGACGGCCCAGTTCACAGCTCAGCCCGGAGGCCCCGGCTGGGAGCCGGCTGGGCGCTTGACCGAGCTGTGCCACCTGTCGTACGTGCCCTCAGGGCTGAGCGGATGACTCTGGTACATAAGCACCCGGCCCAGAATCCCGCGGCCACCTCAGGCTACTCGGGCTCCCCCCACCCTGCCCCGGCCCCCAGAACCACTGGTTCTTCCTGCCCTGACTGCCCCTGGGACCAGCTCCCAGCCCTGACTGGTGGCCGTCGGCTTGGCACCTCTCGCCCCGCTGTCACTGCCCGTGGGCCCCAACCGCCAGCCGTACCACCTGCTGGCGACACCAGCCAACTGGGGAAACCCGCCCCC